TTCCCCTCCACCCCGAGGCTACAAGGGAATGAGGCGGTTCCCACACCCTCTCCGGGCACCTGGCGGCACCCGCGGCTCAGGGAGATTGTTCAAAGGCAAAACGCTTCGACATTCGGAGACCGGAATATTAAGAAAATCGTCTTGAATGGCGGTTGTTTAGTAGCTTCCGGATTTTTGGGAACTTCATTCAGACAATGGTATAGGAGATGTGACGTCTTTTAGGGACGCCCCAGCTAATTAGCCAGACGATGCTAATGAGAGAATAGTTCACTATGGCTAGGCTCCATTCTCAATATTCCAACATATCCCGACTTGGTTCTCATCGCTCTTCGTCTTGTCCTTCTTGTGAATATCGCGCTTGCCCTATACCCGCTATATCGCCCAAAAGATAATTTATCCGACATACCTCTAACACCCTCCCAACGGTCACTGCTCGGCCTCGACCCTAGCCACAGCGCGCCTGCTACCCCTGGAACCAACTATATTACTCCTCCGAGATATCGATTATCCTCTGGCTCTCGAACCGCGAGCCCGATCAGCCCAAGTTCCTTACCAATCTCTGGGCTGTCTGGAAGCCAGTCGACCGGCAAATCTCAAGATGGGGCGCCTTATTCGCCCTCACCAAGCCCGTTATTTCACAAAGCAATGGGAAACGGCACGAAAGAAGTGCGACGAAGACAGAGTTTTGGGTCTCCGTCTCCTTTGGGCCGGTCGACTTTTAGGGAAGGGAGGGTATTGCGAGTGCCGTCGACACCTAGTCCGAGCGGAAATGGGAACGGGAATGGAAATGGGAAAAACACCAACGCGGTGCTTACCAACAAATGGTTATATGAAAAGACACGTTCAATGTCTCCCACTAGTAGTGTTTATAGGTCGTAATGGCTTTTCGTGGGACAGAAGTAATTTGCAAAGGCGCAATGGGACTGAATGGGACTGAATTGGGCGGCGTGGATTAGTTGCTCTTCGTTGTGTTTAGAAATTTTTTTAACGTATTTTTACTTTTTCAAAGAATGGGACAGGATATTGTAGCTCGCTGTATACCCCATACTACCTTGTATTCTGCTTGGCTAGATGGAACGGTCGCCAAATTTGCGCCCAAGCTAAAATATCGCGGATGTCCCGTCAAACTTTCCCCAAACCCTCGGCCTTGGCAGCTCTCTCATCACGCATCCAGGTCTGGGCGCAGTGAAACCAGTAAATATCAACCTAGCCTGTACGAGCTTTCGCATCTCTAGCTGCTCCAGTGCTTTGCGATAATAGTCACCTAGGAGTTGCTTGCTTCGCCTCATAGTTTCAGAGCTATTACGTTGTGTTTGATTGCATGTGTTTGTAGACCAGACCGGCCCTCACGTTAGCTTTCCCCGCCAGGTCATGGGAGGTTCCGAGTCCAAGCTGGCCTTTAAGCAAGGCATCTTTCGACTATCAGAAGATGCCGGCATTGCCGCCGATGATCCCTATTGGACTGGGGTGAGTAACTTCAATAGTTGCTATTTATGACCGTCAGGATATTGTGTACTTTTACTTTCTTGGAAAGCTGACTTTGCGCCTCCTAGTTCTGGGAACTCCCCGAGTCGCCCGAAGATGTCTTCAGCCTGTTCTCTCCAGCCGACATACGACGAACCCGCGATGCCTCAATAGCAAATCTAGAGACCTTAATATTGGCAATCACTTCCCGTCTTATCATCCTCAAAAACCATCCGTCATTCCCGGACCCCGAACTCGCCCCTGACAGAGACGCACTGAACTGCATCCGTGTTCTCACTCGTATCCTTCCCTTCATTTACGAATCAGAAAGTTTAGAGGCATGGGAGGAGAAATTTTTCTGGGGGAGGAGGAGAAAAAAACATCGGCATGCACAAATTGCGTCCCAGGTTTTGTTCGATGAGGCTAGCTTAGAGGATGAAATGCGTCGGCCAAATCCAGGGGAACATGAGAACGATTACTATGATGCTAAACCATTGGCAGAAGAGCTCATTGACACTTTAATAGATTTGCTATTTTACAGTGGATTTACTATACCGAAAATACCCAATGCGAAGGGGAAAGTATCGTACTCAATATGGCAGAGCGGGGTTGGGTGTACGACGGCAATGGGATCAAATAAAGAATTGGAAAGCAATCGATGCGAGATATTAAGGCTCCTATTAACGCTAACAAGCCAATCTATGTATATGCCTTCGAGTAAGCTCCCCGGCTAAGTTTCATACCATTGGTTGCATCACTATTAACACCTCGATCAGGTTTACTCCCAGTTAAAGGAGTGAAAGCAATTACATACCTTGTAACCTGTCCCGACAAGCAAGTGGTCCTGTCACTACTGTGCTCTTTGTTAAACACGGTAAGCCCTGACATCATCACTACTGTTTGAGCTCTCTTTAACTGATCGTGTAGACAATTAAATACAATCCAACTCCGTGGGGGTTACCCTATGACCATGTTGTCTGGAAAGACCCTAAGCAAATCCTTGTCATCTATTGCCTACAGTTTCTTCTGGTGCTTCTTCTCTATCCGATTCCAGAAGATGGGCGTGGGACTCCTCCAAAGAACTACTACCGGCACTTCTATGGCCGCTTACACCGCCCTCAGGACTTCCAGTTTATAGTAGAGGGAATGACAAGAATTCTCAATCAGCCGGTTAGATTTATTTCCAATCTTGCAACTTCACTGTTTAGTGGCTAATGAAAGGGACAGATGCAAGCGACGACGTCATACCTTCCTGGCAGCCAAAAATCAGTGAAATGGGCTCCGGAGATGATCATGTTGTTCTGGGAAGCACTCCAGTGCAACAAGCGCTTCCGATCATATATGATCGACTCAGCTCGGGCGCATGATTTTGTTATTCTTTGTATTTTCTATGCTATCGAGTATAAAACCGATCCATCGAAACTGGGTGTGGTGAAAATGTGTATATTTGTTTTGCAGACGCTCAGTGTTGAGCCGAACTTTGGAAAGAACCTCAATAAGAAGTTTGAATCCCAGGATACGTTGCCGCAAAGCATACGACTGCAAAATTTCCGAGGATCGTATGCTGACTTCTTGATCATGGTGAGTGATCTCATCTGAAACTGACTGCATTTTCATGACTAACATTGCATTGCAGTCCATCCATACTCTTTTGACCACGAGTAAGGGAAAGCTAGATGCAGTGTACCCGGCATTGCTAGCTATTATCAACAATATTGGCGCCTATTGCGAACATCTATCCGCGACAACCTGCTCCAAAATTATTCAACTCTTTGTTTTAATGTCCTCCCCGAGCTTTTTACTAGCGAACGAATCGAATCATATACTGCTCCATTCCCTGCTTGAGTTTGTCAACTCGGTGCTGGAACACCAATATAGCAGTAAGTAATTCCTAATAACAAGGGGATAGTAGGGGCATGAACTGATCGTTACCTAGAAAATCCCCTGCTTGTATACGCTATCCTGAAGTCCTCAAGACGTTTTGAGGCCCTCCGTGCTTTCACTCTGGAGAGTGGACAAGAAGAGATAGAAAGGCAAAACCAGCGAATAAAAACCAACTCAACCGGTAGCACTACTGACACCCTTTTGAGCCCAACACTGTCTCATTCCGGAGACGATAATAGTGGCTCCGGAGCTGGACGACGACAGTTAAGTCATGTCCCAGAAGATGACACTTTCGCGATTGGAGAAGATGATTCAGATGAAGAAGGACACGAGCCACAAAATGCCCCTTCGCAATTACCTTCCCGCGAAAACTCCAGAGCTGCTTCAGTCACCTCGGGCGCTGATGAAAGCGTTCCGCTCCAACTTCGCGGAATGTCTGAGAAAGCGCGCGGGAAGATGCCCGCGAGTCAAGTAACCTTTTCGAGGCAGAACAGCACCACAAGTCTAAGTAGTTATACGCCGACTATTCCTGCTAGCTCCGGTGGCTTCGTTCCTACAGCTTCGTGGGTGAGTACTGACGTCTATATATGGAGTTTTGCTTCGAAGAATTGATCTTATATTGACTTTCAAAATTTCAGATCGAGACTTGGGTCCCCGAGCTACCATTACACACCATCATCACTTTAATCTCTGCAATATTCCCGCATATTCCCTCATCCGCACTCCAATCAACCCTAAGTCCAGATGCACGAACATTCATCTCCAACCTCCCCTCTTTCGCCGAGGAGCCGCGAGTCCACGCCCTCCTAGCTGAACCAACGCCCATCCGAGTACACCTGTTCGAATGGTCCCCCTTGTCCCTCGGTTGGTACGAGTCACTTCTGTGGGGATTCATATTTGCCAGCGAGATGTTAGTAGGATCTGCATCGGGATCAACACCAGGAGCTGTCGGGGTGTGGAATGGGACGGCCATCAAATTATTTAAGGTGCAGGAGACGGCTGCCCAAGGCCCGACGCTGCTGGCTCCGAAGGGTGCTGTGGATGCAGTGGGCAGCAACCTTGTACAGCGTATTGGGAACTTCAATATTCGTGGGCGCGGAAGTGGAAGTGGGAGCGGAGGTGGGTCGCAAGAAGGACAGAGTGAAGCCGGGAGCGTCAGAGTGAGGGATGTTTGAGGTAATTGATTATTTCAAACGTTTAGCACTTTACCTACCACAGCAAGCTGGGGGGCTTCTTCGTTCTCTTTTTCTTTTCCCTTATTCTTTCACACTATTTCGCCTTTGTTTTTGTATTGACCTTTTGGGGGTATTGCGTTTAGCTATTGCAATATTTTCTTCTCCTTCACCTTCTATTCTCTTTGCGGGCTGTTTTCTCTTTCTCTTTGGCATAGCGTGTCCTGTTCTACTCCGTTCGTTTGGCTCGGATAACTCCATAACTCCATTGTTAACTTGGCGTGTTCCATTGTTTTAAATGTATGTTGTAGATATGTCTATAGTTAGAAATATTTTATGGTTGGCAATCTCCTCCCACCCACTCCAAGCAGGAGATAAGATTATAAGAAAATGCCGTGAATAATTTCGCCATGGTTTTGCGAATACAAATAGTTTTACTAATGGCTATTGTCAGTTTTAAGTTACGTCCCATGTGGTTCCTATCGGTCCCTTGAACGGCCCGTATACATACATCGCTCGGGACGGCCCACAGTGCTCGGCTCTCCAATCGCAGGGCTGGGAAGAAAGCACGGGGCAGAACTCCCATGACATCCGGATAATAATATATCAAAGTCAGAGTACTTGATAAAAGCGAGTCCAACTCCACGGCAACATTTATTCTTCGGTTTCTTACCTTCGTTACAACCCCTCGTTCCCGTTTAGATAATTAGAGAGTTAGTTACGCAATTACTACGGAGTACTCTAGATGCCCCCGTCATAGCCGTCGAAGCCGCCCCCATTCCCCGCGCTCCCCCCCCCCCAAAAAACCCCAACCACACCACCACAGCGATGCAGCTCCCACTAGCATCCTACGCCGCTGCAGCCCTTGCTTTCGCTTTGGGGGCATTCGATCTTATCCGTCTAGTCGATGCTGCTCCTATATCGCCAATACTGCAGAATATCCTCAAAAACACAGATCAGAGTCCCTTGTATGAGTATCCGACTGACCTGACCAGGGGGATCATCCCGGTACGTGTTTTTCCTCTTTTCTTTTTTCTTTATGTCTTCCAATTGCGTCTCAACTAACTTCTAGTCCATTTTCTACCTTATATAGATCCCGGTACATTCGCACAAGTATGCTTTTCTTGCGAGTTTACGCTGTTGTTGATTGCGCCTCGAGTTTACCTGGGGAGCCTTCGCAAATATTTTACTGACGCGACTGTGCCTGCAACAGTGACTACTGGAGAGACCTGCCCTTCTATTCTGGTACGCGGATAGTCAATGATCTTTCGCTATATAAATATAGGAAATGATTATAAGCTGACAATTTCACTAACATTGAAGCTCTTTCCGCCGGCTGTATCTCAATTGAGGCAGATGTCTGGCTAGAGGATGACATGCTGCTCGTTCGTTCACCCATCCCCGCTCCTTGTTTTTGATGTATAACCTACTGACAATCTACCAAACAGGTTGGCCATGACCTATCATCGCTAACTAAGACCCGCACCCTCCAATCGCTTTACATAGGCCCAATAATGGATGTCCTCCGCCGGCAGAACCCGCGCAATCCTTACATAAAAGAAGAAACTAGAAAGTTAGTCCACCCCTAGTTTACCTCCGCCTTCCACACAGTACATAGTGATATATCTTCTATTTCAATCCTAATCCTAGCTCTAACATGCAAATCCAGTGGTGTCTACGACACGGATCCCTTCCAAACCCTCTATCTCTTCATCGACGTGAAAACCTCCGGCCCCGAGACCTGGCCACACGTAGTCGCAGCCCTCGAACCCCTCCGCGCCTCAAACTACCTAACCACCCTCCGCAAAAACGATACCCTAACCACAGGACCCGTCACCGTCATCGGCACGGGTAATACACCCCTGAGCCTCGTCGGGCCCGTCCCTGACCGCGATTACTTCTACGACGGCCCCTTAGCTACTCTCGACAAGGAGGGTTCTCCGGAGATAACAAAATATATATCACCCATAGCGTCTACGAACTTTGTGGCTGCCATTGGTGCGGATGGTATTGTTCTGCCTCCCGCGGAAGGCGGGCAAGAGGACGGGGAGAAGGAGTCATCCTGGTTGAATAGCGAGCAATTAGAAACTCTGAGGGAACAGATTGGGGCGGCAAAGAAGAAGGGGATTGGTGCTAGGTATTGGGGCACGCCTAGCTGGCCGGTGCGCGAGCGGAACGAGGTGTGGAGAACGCTGTTGAGGGAGGGGGCTGCGTTGCTGAATGCTGATGATCTGGAGGGGGTTCAGGGGTATTTTTAGAATTTGGTTTGGTTTGGTTTGGGTTTTTTTTTTTTTTTTTTTTTTTTTTTTTTTTTTTTTTTTTTTTTTTTCCCTTTCTTTTCCTTTGTTTGTGCTCTTTCTTCGTTTTTGCCCGGTTCGGTAGATATTAATACACCATTATGAGATTGATGTCTTCGTTTAGTTTGTGTTTTGTATCGCTCTCTTCCTTTCTTCACTTTCGTGTTTGGGATCTAGACAGCCCTCTAGGGCTGAGTCCGGGTTCACATTTTTTGACCTTACGTATGGAGACTCAGGTATACAGACTATACATCGCCTTGTACCTTTTACAGGATAGAATCACAGGATCCCCTATGCTCATCTAATTCATTTAAAGCAGCCTTTTTTGTTTCCTGCCATAAACTATTTTACCAGTATTAGAAAAACAAATAACTTCCTTTCCCAGATCATTCACACGTGGGAATTAGTTCCTGGGCACTTGCATCAAGCAGCGGCGGACACAGACATGTCCATAAACAGCCAGCGGACGAGAAAAAAACTCGGCATGTACTATACTTCCTGCATTGGGGGACTATCAGAAGCATGAGATGGGGATATGAGGCCACGTTTTTGGAAATAATGATTCCATAAGAGTTATGGTGGCACAGCAAGATACATGTGGGATGGCTGACGCAGTGTTCTGCACAACCACGGGGGGGTTGTTTGTGATACCCCATGATGTCTCTGTAGGACTCGACGGAAGGCAGGGACAGGCGCATAACCGAGGGAAAAAGAAGAAAGAAAGAAAGAAAATTGGAGGCTTAGATTAAGGAGGAAAAAGGGGAAATAATTGGACATTGTATCATTTCGTGGCTATAGTTCCCTCGTAGTTGGAGAATCAGCCCGTCCTTAACAAATGTCTTCTTACTATTAGCTTCGGGTTGCTCCAATAAGTGCGGGCGTGGGTAGCCGTTAGAAAAAGCTCGGGTAGCGGATTATCATAAATCTAAAGGCGACGGGCTGGAGATTAAGCTGTACAAAAGGAGTAATTCATTCCTGAAACTGGGAAGGTATGAGAGAGGATTTAAAATAAAAATTAGAATTTCATGTCAAAGAAGTCTACATTAGGGACCTTCGGTCAGAGGAATTCATCAAGATAAACGAAAACACCAATCAAAAACAACAGTTTCACTCGTATACATCAAGAAGGTGCATTACGGGCAGAAGATCCGTTGGGGGTAGAGGACGACGCGCCAAAAGGCGACGGGATCACCGTGGCCTCGAGAACCTGGTTGCCGATTTTAACTGGTTCGGCAGGCAACATGGCAAAGAGCATACGTGCAGGCTCAGGCGTCAAGTTGGACCAGGCATGTATAGTGCTGCGCTGGACTACGATGTCGTCCTTCTTCAAAGTCGTCTTGATCCCGTTGTCAAGCTCCAGCACGACCTCACCCGCGAGCACGACGCCGAAGTCTATGCTGACAGTTCGGTGCATGAACCCTGGTCCGGGGGGGAAGTCCACAATGCGAATGATAGTGCCGACGGAATCGGCGAGAGGGATTTGGGAACCGTTAAAATCTGTCCACGGGCCATCGACTTTGGCGGGGGAGGACGCGGTGCGCCATATTGTCGTAAAAGCGAGTTTGTCTGCCGTGCCGCGAGAGCAATCTGCAAATAACGGGTCGTATGGTGCTAGTAGGGTGTCTGAGTCGATGATGGCTTTACCAGATGGGCTATGGCCGGTGACGACACGTCGAATCGGCGGATAAAACATAGTGGAAGCTATGGGAATTGGAGATGGGAGAATGACGGCGTTGAGAAAACTGTTTGGCCGCGGATAGGGTGGTCGTTCACTTCGTAATCAGAACAGGGGGGATGGGATGGTCAATTTGATAAAATTCTCCCTGAGGAGAGTCGGGCGGAGAATTTCAGTGAAGATGGGTAATGGGGTTATGTCGTGGTAGAGGAGGGGGCTAAAGAGTAAGGTATATATAAGGATGGTTACTTATTTGTCCATCCGTTCTTTCGTTTTCCTTGCCCTGGAATATGACATCGAGGATGCGATCCAAGCGATGGGATCGGACCCTTCCCGCAAATAAAGTAGCCGATCCAAAGGGCATCAGGCAAAAGAGGCTATCAATGAATTGCGCCTCCTGCAATGACTCTTGTCGACAGTGGGAACTGCCGAACCCGGGTAAACGGAGCTTTGGCATTTCCTGGCCCAGGAATGTATTGATCTGCCGTGTGAACGTCATGCCTGGGTAGATACCCTTCATTGAGTATATCCAGCCGTTTTAGACGGGCGCGAGAATGCCTGGGTAGGATAATAAGCTCCGACCGCTAGGAAGTGTGTTGTGCAGAACAAGAAAGGCATGGCAAGTCCCAGCTGCGAGGACAGTCTTTATCGCAGCCATCAGTAGTACGGAGAGCAACACGGCTGTACAGTACCTTCAACAGGCGCCAGCAAACGAAATCTAGGGTAAAAGAGGATCACTTCCAAAAGGGTGGTGAACCCTGACATGAATACCCTCGATCTCAAAATACACTAGGAGAAATCGGCCAAAATCACGAAACCTTAGGGTTACTTACTTAGGGTTACTTACTTAAATGACAGTCACGCAAGGATGGAAGGCCGGAATAAGTTCCTCTTCGAGCAGGTAGACAAGGCCACACGCGCGGGGCATGAAGCACGAAATAGCCCCGAAAATAAAAAGCAACGGTGAGTGTTTCATCCATGGATGTTATTGACTACCAGAAATAGGCACCGCGCAAACTTTGTTAGCGGGGATTGTAATTCGTGACAATTTTGCTCGATCCGGATTGACAAGAATAGTCAGTCTCCCTTTCTTGCCTTCCACTTTCCACTATAGAAATGCCAGTAGAGTCCATTTGCAGTCTTTTTTCTCTTTCGGGAGTCAGTCCGCATTGTACAGTCCACGCGGCCGCACGGCTCCTGATGCATTCTCCCAAAAGTATGCGGTGCATCAATAACTTGACAATGAGGCAGGCGTGAATAAGATTTCATTGTAGGTCTCCCACTCCACATTTCGCCTTTTCACAGGGTGAAGAGTTTGCAGTCTGTCGTCCAGCTCCGTTTGATGGCGACGGTGAGGTTGTTTTTGATGTCAGAAGAAGTAAATGCTTATAGTCACCAATTGGGTTAAGCGTCCTGTCACCTGACTATCTCGATTGGGATCGTCGGATAATCGGATAATATAATATCTTAGCACGCATATCACGTGGTAATCCACTAAATTATTTGTAGCGGCGCCCTTTTTGATTATATAATGGAGCTCCCTTCAACATCGCAACTACATCTGTTGTTTCCTGGTCAAAAAGCCAACAATATACAGGCAAATATCTGTCAGAAAAGGGATCTATAGCAACCCGCGTGATGTATATGCCATAGCAAAATTTATTCATCTATTCTACAGGAGCTGCGGCTGCGCAGGGCCCCTTTGAGGTGTCTTGGCGCACCCTTGTTCATGTATCAACTCCATGCTCTCCTCTAGTCTGAGAGCAGCTCTCGCTCAATCAACTCCAAAAGATGTAGAGCTCATTGCCCGCCATCTGGGCACCAGTCCGGCGCCGTGTTCCGCCCTTTTCTCTGCCCCGCCTGGCCAAACTGATGAGCCCACAACTTGTGAAAACCATTTCCTTACAGTCTCGATCCAGCAAGATGTGCCTGAGGATGGCAAGGTGGACAATCGCGGCGAACTGTTTATCTTCGCAATCGAGATATTGGTTTTTACTACTGCGAACCTCACCACCGTGTTTGTTTCCAAGGCCGATTCAACTGGATATCTGTACCGGCTGAAACTTCCACCAACTGCGAAATCGTTGATGCGTAGTATTTCAACTACGTTCCTATCGCATCTTCTTTCAGCGCTTCAGAGACCCGGTATTAGACTTGTTCTCTCTCTTTTTGCTCGCGCACAGAACCAATACCTCTTTCCGGGCAGTGTAGAGAATCCGGGCAAACACATTTTAGATGATCGAGGGTTGGTCAAATGGTGGTGCCGCGTGGTGGACCCCATCCTTAGACGCCACGAACCTGAGGCAAAGGTCGATGTGAATGGTCACATAGCAGAAGAGGAGAAGAACCGGGATACTGAATCGAAGACCACATCAGCAACAGCGTATCTAATTGTACCAGGTTGCGACAAGTTCGAGACCAGGACCTTCTTCCCTCCATCTACAAAATTGGATCTCCAGACCCGACCGCGCTGGCTCAATTCATATCCCCTACATCAAATATGTGGATCGCAAACCGCACCGCCCCGTTGCCAAGTCCCACGTTTTCCAGATGACCCGAAAGCGCGTTTCCTTTTGGACCTCGATGACGAAGTCTCTGATATTACGAATGACACAAGCACCGGACAATGGCGCAGTATCAAGACCATAGATCAATTCTGGGAGATGATGGCCTACAGACAAGAGTGCTCTTCTGGAAGATTGGTTGGGTTCTTATGGGTGGTCATAAATCCTCCTGGACTTTTAAACTCTGTTCCAATGGTGTCCTCAGCATCTGAAAACGCGCAAACCACCCCCAACATCAAATCAACGTCTAGTAACAATGCCACTGCCAAAGCGGAAATCGCACCGTCTTTGGTTTTAGATTCAAAGCAGACTGGGCAAGTTAGGAACTCGACTACAGAAGAGTGCCAAACCCATGAGCGGAAAGAAAGTACTGTAAGGTCGCTGCCAAAAAATGATGTCATGGCTAGAGATCCACCAACAAACTCAACCAGCCCCGCTTCTGTCGAAAATTCCACTGATGCAATAAAATTGAACGACAAAGATTACCACGATCTTATGAACCTGCTCGTTGAACTCGACTTTGACAACGAGAAAGCAGCCATCGAAAGCACTAACTCTTGGATTCTTAAGCTCTCCACCATAATTGGTCGAAACGATCATGGAGAAAAGGTGGTTGGGGAATGTGAACCCCAGTCTGTTGAAAAATCCACACCACAACCTGCAGACGCCTCGAACCTGTTAAGTGGAGGATTGATCAGGAAGCGGAAAAAGGATGCTGGAGATACTGGCATTCCAGGCGCGGATGGCTTGGACGCTGACCGTTCTTCCGTCGCGGCTACGTTTGAATGCAATAATGACAGGGAACAGCCATCAACAAGTAGCAGCCTGCCAATGACGACTCCAACGATTAACGTTCTCGATGCAACTATAATTAGGAAAAAGAAGAAACGAGGAGAATTTTAAAGTGATTTATTTTTATGATTCTTATTGCACTATTATTTGTGACATCTTGCAACATATTGTTTCGCTTCCCTTTTATTTTTTAGGGGTGGCCTTTCCGGCTATAGACAAATCAATCTGGGTGGTTGAACAAGAAAGAGAGTGGAATGAGTTCCTCGGGTTGGCAAGTCAACATTGACAAGGATTATTGCCAGTGCCACTCTGTTCACTGGCTAGGGCCCAGGTACTAAATCAAACCCATAAGCGCATATCCGACGCCTGCGTCTACCAATTGT